AAGAACTTTGTCCTTGGAGGCAAAGAGGGGAATGTATGAGAGTATAGTTTTACCAACGCTCTTATATGGGTGTGAAGCGTGGTGATGAATGTTGCAGCGAGGAGAAGGCTGGAGGCAGTGGAGATGTCATGTCTGAGGGCAATGTGTGGTGTGAATATAATTGCAGAGAATTCGTAGTTTGGAAATTAGGAGGAGGTGCGGGATTACCAAAAACTGTTGTCCAGAGGGCTGAGGAAGGGTTGTTAAGGTGGTTCGGACATGTAGAGAGAATGGAGCGAAACAGAATGACTTCAAGAGTGTATCAGTCTGTAGTGGAAGGAAGGCGGGGGGAGGGGGTCGGCCTAGGAAGGGTTGGAGGGAGGGGGTAAAGGAGGTTTTGTGTGCGAGGGGCTTGGACTTCCCGCAGGCATGCGTGAGCGTGTTTGATAGGAGTGAATGGAGACAAATGGTTTTTAATACTTGACGTGCTGTTGGAGTGTGAGCAAAGTAACATTTATGAAGGGATTCAGGGAAACCGGCAGGCCGGACTTGAGTCCTGGAGATGGGAAGTACAGTGCCTGCACTCTGAAGGAGGGGTGTTAATGTTGCAGTTTAAAAACTGTAGTGTAAAGCACCCTTCTGGCAAGACAGTGATGGAGTGAATGATGGTGAAAGTTTTTCTTTTTCGGGCCACCCTGCCTTGGTGGGAATCGGCCGGTGTGATAATAAAAATAAAAAAAAAAATTGCTTCAAGTGTTTCGGAATTCAGAGACGTCGTATGGGAGACAATATTGGAAATGGTAGGGGGAGAATGAGTAAAGATTGGAACTGTAATGGACTGTACCAAGGTAGGGGGGGTGCGAAAGGGTGGAGGGAACTGGAGAAGCATGGAGGGGGACAGAAGAGGCAGAAACCTGGGAGGTGGCAGAAGAGGAAGAAACTTGGGAGGGAACAGGGGAGGAAGGTACAGTATGAGGAGGAGGGTGAACCTCTACACTTGTAACAGAGCCAGTGAGAGGGGAAGAACCAGGTACAGAGACAGGGAAGGTAAAATGAGGAGGTGGAAGATGGGTAGGAGGTGTTAACGGACTTTTTTTGACTTTTGAGAAGTAGGGGGAGATTAGGAGGAGGTGTATATGAGATCTCGTTGTTACTGGGCTTGTGAGGGAGAACACGAAGAAGCGAGATCAAAACTGAGGCGTTGAAGTAGGGACGTCTGAGCCCTAGGACAGCAAAAGAATTAGATACAGGAGTGACTATGGGAGAGGTAACCACAGAGGTGGTTGCAGAAGATGGGATCTCAGAAGCGGGGGGACGTTTGAAAAAATGGGAATAAGAAACACGGGTAGTCTCCCTTGGAAAGGGGGAGATGAGAAACTGCAGGCAAAAAGGGAGACCTTCTACCTCTTTGAGGTAACAGATTTCCCGCTCGTTTAAGTAGACTTGACAACGGCGAGAGTTTCGAAGGGTGAGCCTCATGACAATTAAGGCAAGAGGGAGGTCGAATTTTCAAGACATATTAGAATGGTTTATCGGGACCCCCAGACCGGGCATTCGGCGATAGATCTGCAATTTTTTCGCTGGATGGCCAAATCGCCAGCAATTTTTTACACTGTTGCGGTGTAGGGATCACCTTTCGAACTTGTAAACCGATTTTCCTGCTACATAAATGAGGATGGGAGTTTCACGGCTGTTTAAAAATTAAACGAGCCACATGCTAGGGTATCGTCTCCGCCCGCGGGCAGGAAGAACATAAGTGTCTACCTTGAGGATTGGGAGATCTTGGAGTTCCAGCTGTTCAAGAATGTCAGGCCACATGTCTGGAAATTTTGTTGAAAATATGGTATGGGCAGAAATGACGGTACCACTACAAGAATTGAGGGAATGATGTTTTTCAATAGTGACAGGAACAGTATCGATATGGGAAAGACAAGAAAGCTCATGAGCCTGGGTAGCATTTTGTACGGTGATGATGCACGTACCGCTCTTAAGAGCATGAAAAGAAATATCTTTACCAACATGGCATAGGAGTGCCTTGCCAATACTGTGGTCAGAAAGATAGGCAGTAGAGGAAGTCGGTCGTAAAGTGAAGAATTTAGTCCATTGTGCAGTCTGAAACTGAGCGTGGAAAGGTAGTGAAGGACGTGTCGATCTTTTCTGAGAAGAACGAGAAGGTGGAGAAGTATCATCAGCAGGTAATTGTCATTGGCGTTTAGGCGTGGGACCAGAGTTGGTCCGACGTGGAACGGGCCGGCGATTCGAAAATTGCCGCACCGTAGAGGGAGAGGCCGGAAGCATAGTCAGAGGAGAGCGAAGGTCAGATAAATCGAAGGAGTCAGTCAAGGCCTCAGTACCTGAAGCGGGTGAGGAAACAGCACCGGCAAGAGGTACACAGGCATGAGGAGTGTCCGAAGAGTGGTCCAAAGACGAGGCGGGGTCAGAACGGGGTGCGGTATCAAGAAGGGGCCCGGGGTTAGCAGGTTCATGGACTAGGGCTGCCATGGTTAGGTTACTTCTTTCTTTTTGTTTTTAAGAAAAAAAAAGAAAGAAGAAAAGAAAATAAAAATAAAAAAAAGAATAAAAAAAGGGGGGACTGGGGAGGGACAGTTCCTAGGAGGAATGAAAGGGCCAGAAATCTCCCTCTGCGCCCAAGAGGACCTCAGCACCGCAAGTAGCGCAGATGCAGCATGGAACCCGTGCCATACCCTACCCATCATGCCAGTAAACCGGCAATCCGGGATAGCAACCTCACATCTGCCGAGCTACCTCAGTGGACAAAAGAGGGGGCGGCCGGAAATCCGCCACAAAGCATACCTCCTTCGGCCACCACCCCCGGAATCTGAAAGGTGGCTTCCAGAGATACACCCGTCACCCGAGAGACACCCAAAGCCACCCTCCGGGATACCAGAGAGGGATCGGGACATCCCCAGGCAATCCAGATTCCACGGCAAACTACGCCACTGCCAAGAACCTCAATGGAATGGGATGGACCCCGGTACCCTTTCCCTTACCTAGGAACTAGCGTGCCTGTGGGAAAAAAAAAAAAAAAAAAAATCCCAAAGGCCAAAAAGGAAGGGCAAAAGGGAGGGGTGGGGAGGAGGAGGAGGAAAGGAAAAAGGGGAGGATCGGGAGGATGGGGAGGATGGGATAGGGAACGGGGAATTGGGGGGTAATTAGGTTCGGTCTGAGGAAGGAGACTGACAGGTCTAATTCCTCAGACCAAGAGCCTCTTCACTACACCAAGGAGCCCCCCTTGAAGAGAATAATAAAAAAAAAATCATAAATGAGGCAGAACTTGCATTGTAAAATAGCAGCTGAAGTTGTATATGAAAATGGGATTACTTAATTCTATAATAATAATAATAATAATAATAATAATAATAATAATAATAATAATAATAACAATGCCTGCACTCTGAAGGAGGGGTGTTAATGTTGCAGTTTAAAAACTGTAGTGTAAAGCACCCTTCTGGCAAGACAGTGATGGAGTGAATGATGGTGAAAGTTTTTCTTTTTCGGGCCACCCTGCCTTGGTGGGAATCGGCTAGTGTGATAATAATAAAAAAAAATAATAATAATAATTATTATTATTATTATTACACACTAAAATTTAATTGAAGAAGTCCATTAAGGTCAAGTAAGAGATTATCAGATAGCCAAGGTCAAGTAAGAAGAGGTGAGGAGGCAGTCAAGGTCAGAGCAGGAGACACGAGGAGATAGTCAAGGTCAGAGCAGGAGGCACAAGGAGGCAGTCAAGGTCAGAGCAGGAGACACGAGGAGATAGTCAAGGTCAGAGCAGGAGACATGAGGAGGCAGTCAAGGTCAGAGCAGGAGACATGAGGAGACAGTCAAGGTCAGAGCAGGAGACACGAGGAGATAGTCAAGGTCAGAGCAGGAGACACGAGGAGACAGTCAAGGTCAGAGCAGGAGACACGAGGAGATAGTCAAGGTCAGAGCAGGAGACACGAGGAGATAGTCAAGGTCAGAGCAGGAGACACGAGGAGGCAGTCAAGATCTGTCATCTGGTTTTCTACAGTTATATTTAAAAACTCTGATTATTATGATTATAATCATAACTAAGCACTAAACCCATAAGGGTCATACAGTGCATCACACAACTTGATACAAGTCAAGCATGGACTAAATAAAATCATCCAATTTTAATCTCCTGTATGTCACTTAGTGGTGAATCATTTCAGATGCAGTACTGCAACTTAGAATTTTCTACTGCACAAATATCTGACCCTACTCCGCCTTATAGCCCTGACAACCTTTAGGCAATGTACAGATGCTCCTTGACTTAGTATGGGTTACAATATTTTTACTTTATGATGGTGCAAAAGCAATTATTTTGGTGACGAAACTTTAAGATTATTACCCAGCATGAAGGTGGCAAGTCCATAACCTGTATTCATTTATTTAATTTTCAATACTGGTATTCAATTAGCTACAGTAATTTATTTGTTTATTCATTCAGTGACAGTGGTTATTTATTTATACATTTATTAAGCATATCATTCATATTCAACTTAAGATATTTTCAACTTACGACGAGTTCATTGGAACATAACTCCATCATAAGTCAAGAAGCACTAGTACACAGTATCATCACTATTTTTATCATAAGTTTCAAAATGTGAGTTATGCTCCTGGTATACGAGTACCTTTTTAACTAAACCCTCAAATATGTGCAATTCCACAGGATAGTAAAACTCTGTTCATTTTCAGTGATAATTATAAAGCATAAGGTTTAGTCATGTACACAAAATTTTGAAATGGATGCATGGATAAAGAGGTTATCATCACCGAACATGCCCAAATGCGCATGTGGAGAGAGAGAGTGGTAACTAAAGATAAAATCCACTTCAAGATGCATCGTTTATCAGCAAATAAGAAATATACCAGGCAACCAAAACCCCTCTGGGAAAACCCACAGCCATACTGACCCTTTGCAAGGGTCAAAGCATTTTAGACAGCAATTAGGCCAAGCTGCACAATGATGCAAATAATTGTGCCCTCACCTGATCCTGAGCATATCCTCCGTGCTTTCAGAGGCTAAAACCAACTCTAAGAAGTTGTCAAAGCTGACAAATAAAAACAAATTTTTCAGGAGGTCACAGACTACTATGAAAACTAAGTTTGATAGTGTACTACCAAAGGCCAAAGGCAATAGTAGAACATCATATCCATCACACAAACAAAAAAAACAAAGTATAGTGAAACAATGGACATGAATGCCTTTTCTAAATGCCCTGAAAACTATTGATGAAATAGTGCAATTTAAATGGCAAAAAAGTTTCAAGTTAAAATAATTCTAACTTTCAAAAATCCCAATTACTGTAATAGTACTCATTAAAGAACTTACAATGCATTGTCAAAAAAAACAGCATTAAAATACTATGTTTAAGAATGGAACATTTCCAGCAGAGTCACATACTAAACTCTTATATAATTAAAACAAGTCAACAAAATAATCTGACAGTCTGAAAGCAAATACTGTTTGTATATTATATACAGAATGATACGCTTTTCAGGCAGAATTTTTTTTTAGCAAATTGGCTGCATATCAACTAGGCAGAGTGACCTAAAAAGTTTTTCTTTTTAAATTTAGTAATTTATACAGGATAAAAGGCTATTAGCCCCTTGCTTCAGGCAGAACTTATCAGCCTGAATAGGCTCAGACTGTTTTGCAGTATGAAGGCAAATGACCATCGACAACTTGATGGAAATGGATAAGCTTGCATTCACTCAGGACACCTTTAATGATGGTAATCTGGTCCTTGGACTTTGATCACTTCAAATGTATACATGTATCTAAAGTGATTAACGTCTCAGGACATCTTTATTTTCAATTATATCACATAAATGTTAAACCTAAGACCCAATCTAACTTTGTTATTTTTTAAATACACTACCTAACAGAATACTCCATTCAACTGAATGTACAGCAATGCATGCAACCATATGATCTGTCTTTGTAATACTCATTTGTGCCTTATTGTTATCTGTTTACAATAATGTTTTATCACTGATTACATCATTGCTTAGTTAATCTTAAGTTAATTTTAAGCCAGCCCGTAATGCTATGCATACAAGTGGCTTTGGCATGCTGCTCTTACCTGTATTTTTTTGTACCTCTGTATGTATGCTCAAATTACTAAATAAATATATAAATAACTAAATAAATAAATAAATAAAGATGTCTTCAGTGAATACCTTCATATCCATTTCCCACTAGGATTAATACATAAATAACCCGCACTTTTTTGTTTTAACACACTGGCTGTCTCCCACCGACGCAGAGCGACCCGAAAAAAGAAACACTTTCACTATCATTCACACTATCACACACAGGAGAAAGAGACTTATGACGATGTTTCAGTCTGACTCAGACCAGTTAATGGTCCAAGTCAGACTGAAATGTTGTCATAAATTTCTTTCTCCTATGTGTGGGTTATTTGTGTATTGTTCCAGTCACGTATTGTGCCTTTTTATTCCTCTAGGATTATTTTTCCAACTAAGTCGAGCTTAAATTAATTTTTTGCCCAACTCAGCGAAAAACAGTTTGCCTGATACAGCAATAATAGATTTCAATAATGATAAATAATGATTACTAAAGGTAAGGTAACTTTACATATATCAAGCAGTACAGGTATGTATATGCTGTATATACAGCAGTTTATTATTATCTGGAACACTTACTATAAACAGGAGATCTCTTAACTTACAGATACCCATTTCACACATTTACACTTATAAATGGGGCACTTAGGAATTAATTTGTAGTTTTACAACCAACAAGTGACAGTACGAAATTGTGTGGAACAATGTGGCTATGTTTCACATAAATCACCGGTCCTTGTTTGCAAGTTGAAGAGCAAGGAATGCAAATCATTTGCAAGTTGAAAAGCAAGGAATGCAAATCATTTCAAAGTTGCAAAACAAGGACTCATATCGTTTGCAAGTTGAAAAACAAAGAATGCAACATGTTTTCAAGTTAGGCACTCTAATGCAAGTCCTGCAGAGTATCATCTATTGTTCGACTGCTGCCCACTATACAGGTATTGGTGTAATCTTATGCCCCTACATGGAACATTAACTCTCTCATCTCACGAATACCATGCCCCAAAAATGTTCCCAGTTTTCAGTTTCGCAGCTCAGTCTTTGGGATATTATTATTATCACCACAGGAAAATGCTAAACCTGTAAGAGCCATGCAGTGCATGCAGAATGAAAGGTAATCAGTGGTCCTGGAGATTTCTGGCAGAGAGTTCTAGATTTTGGGTCCTTTTATGTACAATGAGTTTTTGAAAAGATTTAGCCTGGCATGGGAAATGTCTTCGAAGTTTCTATGCTTAGTGGTGTGTCTATAAGTCTATTGCAACTCTCAAGAAAGTGTTTCAGGTCAGGATTTATATTAGAATTGATTGTTCTGTAAATGTAGGATGCAAAATAGTACAAGTGAGGGGTTGTCTAGCAGTGGATTGTGTGATCATTTGCACTGCGGCTTTTTGTTGGGTTATTACTGGTTTTAGGTGATTTGTCATTGTAGAACCCCAGGCACAAATAGTATAGGTGAGGTAGGGGTATATCAGTGATAGTATAGTGTAAGTAGTGCTGTTTGTGGTACATAGTGACATATCTTTGAGAGGATGCCAACTGTCCTAAACTTTTTTTTGTTATGTGTTGGATATGGGTGTTGAATTACAGGTTGATATCAAGGTGCAGACCTAGAAATTTTCCCTCATAATGTTTAGCATAATATTTAATTGGACCTCACTTGCTCTACTCCCAAACACAATGTAAAAGGTTTTGTCTATATTAAGTGTAAGTTTACTGACAGTCAACCAGGTTGCTATTTTTGTGAGTTCTTCGTTAACAAGAGTGTTGAATGAGGTTAGATTTGGGTGGGAGATGATGAAAGTCATGTCATCAGCAAAGAGAATAGGTGTAAGTTGTTGTGATATGCTTGGAAGATTGTTGTATAAAAGGAAAAGGAGGGGGCCAAGAATGCTACCCTGTGGTACATGAGTATATACACTTGGAAAATTCTAAAGGGACAAGTACCAAATTTGCAAATGAAAATCACTCCCTACGAAAGCAAAAGACTAGGCAGGCAGTGCAACATCCTCCCAATGAAAAGCAGGGCACTAGGACGATAAAGAGAGAACACAATAAGTGTCAGGGGCCCAAGATTGCTTAACTGCCACCCCCCCCAACATACATAAAAGGGATTACCAATAGACCCCTGGCTGTCTTCAAGAAGGCTCTGGAAAGGCACCTAAAGTCAGTATCTGATCAGCCAGGCTGTGGTTCATATGTCAGTTTACGTGCAGCAAACAGTAACAGCCTGGTTGATCAGCCCCTGATCCACCATGAGGCCTGGTCACAGACTGGGCTGTGGGGGGCATTGACCTGCAAAACCCTTTCCAGGTATACTCCAGGTATGCACAAAGAATTTTTATTCACACAAAAAATAGATCATTTACTGTTATGCAATAATATAATACAGTGGACCCCCGCATACCGTTGGCATCACATAACGTTAAATCTGCATACCGATACATTTTATCGCTAAGATTTTGCCTCGCATACCGCTAAAAAATTCGCTCAACGCTATTCATCCGAGACGCATCTAATGTGCGGCCTGAGCCAGCCTCACATGTTCCGCATGTGGCATTGTTTACCAGCCAGCCTCCGCAGTAACATCCAAGCATACAATCGGAACATTTCGTATTATTACAGCGTTTTTGGTGATTTTATCTGCAAAATAAGTGACCATGGGCCCCAAGAAAGCTTCTAGTGCCAACCCTACAGGAATAAGGGTGAGAATTACTATAGAGATGAAGAAAGAGATCAACCATCGCTACTATTGTGTCCAAGAAAACGGCAATCAAGGAAGCTGTTCTTGCCAAAGGTTCAACTGTGTTTTCGAAACAGAGATCGCAAGTGATAGAAGATGTTGAGAGACTCTTATTGGTGTGGGTAAACGAAAAACAGATAGCAGGAGATAGCATCTCTCAAGCGATCATAAGTGAAAAGGCTAGGAAGTTGCATCAGGATTTAATTAAAAAAATGCCTGCAACTAGTGATGATGTGAGTGAATTTAAGGCCAGCAAAGGTTGGTTTGAGAGATTTAAGAAGCGCAGTGGCATACATAGTGTGATAGGCATGGTGAGGCTGCCAGTTCGGACCACAAAGCAGCTGAAAAATATGTGCAGGAATTCAAGGAGTACATAGACAGTGAAGGACTGAAACCTGAACAAGTGTTTAATTGCGACGAAACAGGCCTGTTTTGGAAGAAAATGCCAAGCAGGACCTACATTACTCAGGAGGAAAAGGCACTCCCAGGACATAAGCCTATGAAAGACAGGCTTAATCTTCTCATGTGTGCCAATGCTAGTGGTAATTGCAAAGTGAAGCCTTTATTAGTGTACATACATAAGGGGGATTACCAACAGACCCCTGGCAGTCTTCAAGCTGGCACTGGACAAGCACCTAAAGTCGGTTCCTGACCAGCCAGGCTGTGGCTCATACGTTGGTTTGCGTGCAGCCAGCAGTAACAGCCTGGTTGATCAGGCTCTGACCCACCAGGCCGCCTGGTCACAGACCGGGCCACAGGGGCGTTGACCCCCAGAACTCTCTCCAGGTAAACTCCAGGTATCACTCTGAAACTCCCAGAGCGTTCATGCAAAAAATATCCTCAAGGCTAATTTGTGTGTGCTGTGGAGGGCAAACAGTAAGGCATGGGTCACTAGGGACTTTTTCTATGACTGGTTACACCAAGCATTTGCCCCAATGTGAAAAATTACCTAACTGAAAAGAAATTAGACCTTAAGTGCCTCCTGGTATTAGACAATGCCCCTGGTCATCCTACAGACTTGGCAGAGCGACTTTGTGGGGACATGAGCTTCATTAAGGTCAAGTTTTTGCCTCCTAATACCACTCCTCTCCTGCAGCCCATGGACCAGCAGGTTACTGCAAACTTAAAAAAACTGTACACAAAAGCTCTGTTTGAAAGGTGCTTTGTAGTGACCTCAGAAACTCAATTGACTCTAAGAGAGTTTTGGAGAGAGAGCACTTTAATATCCTCAATTGTGTAAATCTTATAGGTAAGGCTTGGGAGGGAGTGACTAAGAGGACCTTGAACTCTGCTTGGAAGAAACTGTGGCCAGAATGTGTAGACCAAAGGGATTTTGAAGGGTTTGAGGCTAACCCTGGGAATCTTATGCCAGTTGAGGAATCCATTGTGGCATTGGGAAAATCCTTGGGGTTGGAGGTTAGTGGGGATGATGTGGAAGAGTTGGTGGAGGAGGACAATGAAACACTAACCACTGATGAGCTGCTAGATCATCTTCATCAGCATGAGGCCACACCTGAGGAAACTGCTTCGGAGGAGGGGAGAGAGAAATTGAAGAAGTTGCCTACTTCAAAGATTAAGGAAATCTGTGCAATGTGGCTTAAAGTGCAAACCTTCATGGATGAAAATCGCCCTCAGACAGCTGTTGCAAGCCGTGCTGGTGACTATTACACTGACAATGTTGTGAACCACTTTAGGAAAGTCATAAAGGAACGAGAGGTACAGACCTCTATGGACAGATATGTTGTGCGACAGAAGTCCAGTGACTCTGAAGCTGGTCCTAGTGGCATTAAAAGAAGAAGGGAAGTAACCCCGGAAAAGGACTTGACACCTCAAGTCTTAATGGAAGGGGATTCCCCTTCTAAACACTAAGACTCTCTCCTCCTCCCATCCTATCAATCATCACCAGATCTTCAATAAAGGTAAGTGTCACGTAACTGTGCATGTCTTCTTCAGTTTGTGTGTATTAAAATTAATATTTCATGTGGTAAAAAAAAAATGTTTTCATACTTTTGGGTTTCAGGAACGGATTAATTTGATTTCCATTATTTCTTATGGGGAAAATTCATTCGCATAGCGATAATTTCGCATAACATTGAGCTCTCAGGAACAGATTAATATCGTTATGCAGGGGGTCAACTGTAATTGTACAATTAATATAAGCATAGTGATGAATGTACATCAGACCCACCAGTTGATGTGTATTGGACATGTAACGTAATTTGTTTACTCTTGAACATCAGCAAAAATTTAACATTTCTGCTACTTTGAGCTCAATTTCAAGCTATTTTGAGTCTTCAAAATCATCTCTATTTCTGTAATATATCTTCCATTCTATCAAATGAGTCAAAGAAATCGAGAATACAAACATAAAAACCATATGAAAATGCATTGCAAAGTTGCTATTTTAAATAAAAAACACAGATGGAGTTTTTCTATAGGTAGTAGGTTGGTAGAGAGCAACCACCCAGGGAGGTACTACCGTCCTGCCAACTTAGTGTACAAAGGAAACCTATAATTGTTTTTCATGATGGTAGGATTGCTGGTGTCTTTTCTCTGTCTCATAAGCATGTAAGATTTCAGGTATGTCTTGCTACTTCTACTTACACTTGGGTTACACTACACATACATGTACAAGCATATATATACACACCCCTCTGGGTTTTCTTCTATTTTGTTACTATTTTTTGTTTTTGTTTATTTCCTCTTATCTCCATGGGGAAGTGGAACAAAAATCTTCCTCCGTAAGCCATTCATGTTGAAAGAAGCGACTAAAATGCCGGGAGCAAGGGGCTAGTAACCTCTTCTCCTGTATAAGTTACTAAATTTAACCCTTTGACTGTTTCGGTCGTATATATACGTCTTACGCACCACTGTTTCTGACGTATTTATACACATAAATTCTAGCAGCTTCAAATCAAGCGGGAGAAAGCTGCTAGGCCCACATGTGAGAGAATGGGTCTGTGTGGTCAGTGTGCACCACATAAAAAAATCCTGAAGCACGCAGTGCGTAATGAGAAAAAAAACTGATCTTTTTTTTTTGGAATAAAACGCCGAATTTGAGGTGTATTTTCGTATAGTATTTATCATTGTATTTAAATTTTCATGGTCTCAGGTGATAAAATGGAAAACATATTACAGAAATAGAGATGATTTTGACTACTTTCATGATGAAAATGACCTTGAAATTGAGCTCAATGTAGCGGAAATGTTCGATTTTTACCAGTGTTCAGGAGTAAGCAAATCACACCACACGTCCAATACACTTTAACTGGGGAGTCTAATATTCTTTCACTAGTGCACTGATATTATTTATACCATTTTTACAATAATGCAGTAGTCTGCATAACAGTAAATTCTGTATTTTTTTGTATGAATAAAAAATCAAAATAGAAAGCAATAGCAATATAAGAGGAGCCTAGAGACGTGACTACTGAACAGAGGATATGTTATTTTAGTGCCAAGAATGTCTACATTGTTTATTCTGGACCCTATTTTGAAACTGGCATCTTTTTTAATTTACATGAAACTGGCCAAATTGCCAATTTCTGACCACTTTATTGGGTAGTTAAAATCGATAAATGGGCGGTTTCTTGTACTCAAAAGATAGAAAAAATGGACTTCTAAAGAAATAGCTATGAGTTTGGTCAACTGAAACAACTGAATTGGCCAAAAACAGGGCTCAAAATCTACAAAATCGGCGATGCATATATGTCGCCGAGACTGCTAACTTCACGGGACCGTAATTCCGTGAGTTTACGACCAAATTTCATACATTTGCTGTCATTACCATTGGGAAAAGATTCTCTATCATTTCATAATAAAAAATAATTTATTTTTTCCAAAAATTTATCGACATAGAATGATAGTTTCAGAAAGAGGCTTGCGACAGTAAAACGGTTAAAAAGAGATACTTTCGTTTTTCTTTTTGGACAACCCTGCCTCGATGGGATACAGCCAGGTTGTTGAAAGGAAGAAAGAAATATGCAGTTTTTTCTCACTATGTGCTGTGTGCTGATTTATTTTATATGGTGCACACTTACTGCATCGACTCATTCTATCATATTTAGTCCCAAATCCACCGCTTACAGCTTATCTGAGTAAGCCGAGCTCATTACACAGTACTATGGCACGGACCCTGGCTTTAAAGTTGCAGAACTACAGCACAGACCCTGAAAGGGTTAACCCTCTCAGGGTCCCCAGGCCCTCTCCCAGACTTGTTCTCAGGGTCCCCCAAATTTCAAAAAAAAATTATTTTTTCTTATGAAAAGATAAGAGAATCTTTTCCCGATCATAATGACACCAAAAGTACGAAATTTGATGGAAAGCTTACGAAATTATGCTCTCACAAAGTTAGCGGTCTCGACGATGTTTACGCATTGGCGATTTTGCCCACTTTAAGCCCTATTTTCGGCCAATTCCAATGTATTAGTCGACAAAAATCATAACTATTTTGCTAGAACTCCATTTTTTCTATCGAATGAGTACAAGAAACCACCCATTTACCGATTTCAACCATTCAATAAAGTGGTCAGAATTTAGCAATTTTGCCAATTTCACACAAATTTCAAAAGATGCCAATTTCCAAATAGGGTCCAGAATAAACAAGAAAGACATTTCTGGCACTAAAATAACATTTTCTCTGTTCATTAGTCACGTCCCCATGCCCCTCTTACATTCTTTTGCTTTCCACTTTGAATTTTTATTCTCACAAAAAAAAAGAAGATTTACTGTTATGCAGACTACTGTATTAGTGTAGAAATGGTATAAATAATATCAGCACAGTTGTGAAAGAATATTAGACTCACCAGTTGACGTGTATTGGACGCTTAGCATGATTTGTTTACTTTTGAACTTTGGTAAAAATTGAACATTTTTTCTACTTTGAGCTCAATTTCAAGGTACTTTTCATTGTAAAACCAGTCAAAATCATCTCAATTTCTGTAATATGTCTTCCATTCTATAAAATGAGACCAAGAAAACTAGAATACAACAATAAATACCCTACGAAAATACAGTGCAAAGTCGCTGTTTTAATCCAAAAACACGGTCAAAGTTTTTTTTCTCATTACGCACTGTGTGCTGCAGGATCTTTTTTTATACTGCGCACACTGACCACATAGACCCATTCTTTCATATGTAGGCCTACCAGCTTTCTCTCACTAGATTTGAGGGCGCTAGAATTTAGGCGTACTAGTATGTCAAAAACCCTGGTGTGTAAGCCATACTAGTACGTCCGAAACCCTGAAAGGGTTAAGTACGGGTTATTGGTAAACTATTCCCTCCACAGTAATGTTATCCTAGGTAATTAAACTATGTATGATAACTGTACTTATGAGTACCTGTACCTAAACTTACTTAGTGCTTCAGGTGACTGTTCTTCAGCTACATTCTGCTTATACTGTAGTTACAGAGGCTACTGCACCACACATGCCAAGAATTTCTAAACAGGCAGTCAAATAAATAGTACTTTTTATTTGTTAAAAATATAATGTAAATGCAGAAGCTGTTTACCCAGGTTGCCTGAAGCCCACATGCCCAGAGTGAAAATTAACACTATATTTGGCTTTCAGAGCCACTCTGCATAACTATCCAGAAGTAATGAATTATGATTATTATTATTATTACTCACAAAATTATAATAACACAACTGCAAATGAACCATGGTATGGGTGGGATATGAACTCATGGCTAGTGAGTTGTAAAACTCTAGGCCAGTGTGTAAGCCACTCACTTATGCACTGGCCTGGAGTTCAAACCCCACCGATACTGTGGTTTGTTATTATTATAAGCATTAGCAAAGTATTTTAGGCAGTTTTACATTTCCACGTAGACTTTTTCCACCATAAATTTCATGTATATACAGTATATGTTTCCATAATTACAGAGTTCAAAAGTATAAAAATAAAGTGAAATGTTTTTAATAAATCCTCTTTGGCAATTTATTACTATGAATAATCAAGTAATGATTAGATATATGTTCCATTCCCAATCAATTTAACATAGAAAAAATAAAATAGCTATCAAAATAAATGTAAAATAGGGAGCTAATGGTATGCTAAATGCTGTATTGCACAAGGCAAAAAACTGTAAGGCGCTTAACAGTCTTTTAAAAAATATTTGAAAAAGAGAGTATTTCTGATATGCAGTTAAATCAGAAATATTTTTGAGCAAGATTCGCTAGCACTATTTTAGGTGTGAAAACAAGAATCCATTACCTGAGATGCTCGAGGTCGTGAATGTCGGTGGAATCGTGAATGAGTGTGATGAAGTCTTCATAACTGGCTGCATACATGTAAGTTCGGCGGTGTAGCTCTTCCGCTGCATGTTGCTGCCTTAGGTATGACACTAGTTGCTGATTAATCCAGTCTGGGTCGCAGACTCGATCAATCATTGGTTCAAAAACTGAAAAAGAAGAAATCAGCGCCATGGGGAATGGGAGGCAATAAGCTTCAGTCAAGGAAGGGTAGTTCCAATTCTTTTGATCAAGAGCCCTTCACCAAGATATACTTCCCTTGAAGGGTTTCCATGCTATCCTACCATGGTGCAGCCATATTTCAGTTGTAGTAATTTACCTCATTCAACATAAACTAAACCATGGTAAAATTTTGCATTTCAAGCCACCTTCCATATTTTCATTAGCAGTTACAAGTTTTATTAACAAATCAATTATTTGCCACAAAGGTGGGGTAGGTAACATGTTCACCACTGTTCATTCAATAACTTCCATGCTAGAAGAGTGAACATTTCCATTGCTAGAACACTGTGAACATTTCTCATGAGACTGGTGATACATTTTGTGTATAGATACACATAAGTACAATTATCATACATCAAAATATATAAATTACCTAGTAATAAACCTTAAAAAAGTCAAAGTAACTTACTGCCATTGGAAAGTTTATGTTACTCTCAAATCAGCTAATTCTAATCTCATTAATATTTATGTTAACAGGGACCAATATAAAGAAAACTTGCAAAGGTTAGTAGATGAGTTTGGGAGTGTGTGTAAAGGCAGAAAGTTGAAAGTGAACATAGATAAGAGTAAGGTGATGAGGGTATCAAATGATTTAGATAAAGAAAAATTGTATATCACATTGGAGAGAGGGAGTATGGAAGAAGTGAATGTTTTCAGATATTTGGGAGTTGACTTGTCAGAGGATGGGTTTATAAAGGATGGGATTAACCACAGAATTAATGAAGGAAAAAAGGTGAGTGGTGCATTGGGGTATCTGTGGAGACAAAAAATGTTATCTATGGAGGCAAAGAAGGGAATGTATGAAAGTTATAATGGTACCAACACTCTTATATGGGTGTGAAGCTTGGGTTGTAAATGCTGCAGCGAGGAGGCAACTGGAGGAAGTGGAGATGTCCTGTCTAAGGGCAATGTGTGGTGTAAATATTATACAGAAAATTCGGAGTGTGGAAATTAGGAGGAGGTGTGGAGTTACTAAGAGTATTACTCAGAGGGCTGAAGAGGGGTTGTTGAGGTGGTTTGGTCATTTAAAGAATGGAACAAAGTAGTATGACTTGGAGAGAGTATAAATCTGTAGGGAAAAGGAGGGGTAGGGGTTATCCTCAAAAAGGTCAGAAGGAAGGGGTAAAGGAGGTTTTGTGGGCGAGGGGCTTGTTTTTCCAGCAAGCGTGCGTGAGCGTGTTTGATAGGAGTAAATGGAGACAAATGGTTTTTGGGACTAGACAAGCTGTTAGTGTGAGCAGGGTAATATTTAGTGAAGGGATTCAGGGAAACTGGTTATTATAGATTTAGCCAGATTTGAGTCCTGGAAATGAGAAGCACAATGCCTGCACTTTATAGGAGGGGTCTGGGATATTGACAGTTTGGAGGGACTTCTAAACTGTCATATCTGAGTGCCTCTGCAAAGACAGTGATTATGTATGAGTGAGGTGAAAGTGTTGAATGATGATGAAAGTATTTTCTTTTTGGGGATTTTTTTTCTTTTTAGGTCACCCTGCCTTGGTGAGAGACAGCCGACTTGTTGGAGAGAAAAAAAAAAAAGGGACCAATATATTAAAACCAAATTAAATAACTACTAAAAACTAGTTACTGAGAGGTATGGAACAATGTTGGTGTAATGTTCATAGTACATAATATTTGAGGCAATGGAGATATCATAAGCTCATAGCTTGATTGGTAGTGCACTCGGCTCACACACTGAGGTCTGTGGTTCAATCCCCAGTATGGGTGGAAACATTAGGACATGTTTCCTTAAGACACCTGCTGTCCATGTTCACCTAGCAGTAAAATAGATACCTCGGTGTTAGTCAACTGGCGTGAGTCGCATCCTGAGACGAAATTGACCTAATGTGCCCAAAACGCTCTGCATAACAAAGGGCTTTCTACATATATTAATCTTAAGTTAGTCTTAAGTTTGCCCAAAATGCTCTGCATATAAAGGGGCTTTTGGCATGGTCACCAAATTGTTGCTCCATTGTACAAACATGTTTATTATTTTATTATCACACTGGCCGATTCCCACCAAGGCAGGGTGGCCCGAAAAAGAAAAACTTTCACCATCATTCACTCCATCACTGTTTTGCCAGAAGGGTGCTTTACACTACAGTTTTTAAACTGCAACATTAACACCCCTCCTTCAGAGTGCAGGCACTGTACTTCCCACCTCCAGGACTCAAGTCCGGCCTGCCGGTTTCCCTGAAACCCTTCATAAATGTTACTTTGCTCACACTCCAACAGCACGTCAAGTATTAAAAACCATTTGTCTCCATTCACTCCTATCAAACACGCTCATGCATGCCTGCTGGAAGTCCAAGCCCCTCGCACACAAAACCTCCTTTACCCCCTCCCTCCAACCTTTCCTAGGCCGACCCCTACCCCGCCTTCCTTCCACTACAGACTGATACACTCTTGAAGTCATTCTGTTTCGCTCCATTCTCTCTACATGTCCGAACCACCTCAACAACCCTTCCTCAGCCCTGTGGATAACAGTTTTGGTAATCCCGCACCTCCTCCTAACTTCCAAACTACGAATTCTCTGCATTATATTCACACCACACATTGCCCTCAGACATGACATCTCCACTGCCTCCAGCCTTCTCCTCGCTGCAATATTCATCACCCACGCTTCACACCCATATAAGAGCGTTGGTAAAACTATACTCTCATACATTCCCCTCTTTGCCTCCAAGGACAAAGTTCTTTGTCTCCACAGACTCCTAAGTGCACCACTCACTCTTTTTCCCTCATCAATTCTATGATTCACCTCATCTTTCATAGACCCATCCGCTGACATGTCCACTCCCAAATATCTGAATACGTTCACCTCCTCCATACTCTCTCCCTCCAATCTGATATTCAATCTTTCATCACCTAATCTTTTTGTTATCCTCATAACCTTACTCTTTCCTGTATTCACCTTTAATTTTCTTCTTTTGCACACCCTACCAAATTCATCCACCAATCTCTGCAACTTCTCTTCAGAATCTCCCAAGAGCACAGTGTCATCAGCAAAGAGCAGCTGTGACAACTCCCACTTTGTGTGTGATTCTTTATCTTTTAACTCCACGCCTCTTGCCAAGTCCCTCACATTTACTTCTCTTACAACCCCATCTATAAATATATTAAAAAACCACGGTGACATCACACATCCTTGTCTAAGGCCTACTTTTACTGGGAAAAAATTACCCTCTTTCCTACATACTCTAACTTGAGCCTCACTATCCTCGTAAAAACTCTTCACTGCTTTCAGTAACCTACCTCCTACACCATACACTTGCAACATCTGCCACATTGCCCCCCTATCCACCCTGTCATACGCCTTTTCCAAATCCATAAATGCCACAAAGACCTCTTTAGCCTTATCTAAATACTGTTCACTTATATGTTTCACTGTAAACACCTTGTCCACACACCCCCTACCTTTCCTAAAGCCTCCTTGTTCATCTGCTATCCTATTCTCCGTCTTACTCTTAATTCTTTCAATTATAACTCTACCATACACTTTACCAGGTATACTCAACAGACTTATCCCCCTATAATTTTTGTACTCTCTTTTATCCCCTTTGCCTTTATACAAAGGAACTATGCATGTTCTCTGCCAATCCCTAGGTACCTTACCCTCTTCCATACATTTATTAAATAATTGCACCAACCATTCCAAAACTATATCCCCACCTGCTTTTAACATTTCTATCTTTATCCCATCAATCCCGGCTGCCTTACCCCCTTTCATTTTACCTACTGCCTCACGAACTTCCCCCACACTCACAACTGGCTCTTCCTCACTTCTACAAGATGTTATTCCTCCTTGCCCTATACACGAAATCACAGCTTCCCTATCTTCATCAACATTTAACAATTCCTCAAAATATTCCCTCCATCTTCCCAATACCTCTAACTCTCCATTTAATAACTCTCCTCTCCTATTTTTAACTGACAAATCCATTTGTTCTCTAGGCTTTCTTAACTTGTTAATCTCACTCCAAAACTTTTTCTTATTTTCAACAAAATTTGTTGATAACATCTCACCCACTCTCTCATTTGCTCTCTTTTTACACTGCTTCACCACTCTCTTAACCTCTCTCTTTTTCTCCATATACTCTTCCCTCCTTGCATCACTTCTACTTTGTAAAAACTTCTCATATGCTAACTTTTTCTCCCTTACTACTCTCTTTACATCATCATTCCACCAATCGCTCCTCTTCCCTCCTGCACCCACTTTCCTGTAACCACAAACTTCTGCTGAACACTCTAACACTACATTTTTAAACCTACCCCATACCTCTTCGACCCCATTGCCTATGCTCTCATTAGCCCATCTATCCTCCAATAGCTGTTTATATCTTACCCTAACTGCCTCCTCTTTTAGTTTATAAACCTTCACCTCTCTCTTCCCTGATGCTTCTATTCTCCTTGTATCCCATCTACCTTTTACTCTCAGTGTAGCTACAACTAGAAAGTGATCTGATATATCTGTGGCCCCTCTACAAACATGTATCATGCTAAAATAAAAATTGTTACTGTTATTGTTAGAGCAGGATGTCATTGATGTCAGCTAGGCCTGTATACCTTGTACATGTACGTACTTATAGAAATAAAGATTATTATTATTAGTAGTAGTAAAAGTATATGGTGTGAATCATGACCTCAGCAAATTGCAATAGCATGACTGCACACTGACCTGCGAGCTTAAGAACTTGCTTGTCATGGTACTGAGCCCCACCTGTTCTATGATTTATGGTACATCTAACCAGGAAAATTGGTTAGATGTACCATCCATTAATGACCAGCATATCTATATTCATCAAAAGTGCAAAACCCATTGCAGCTTCACCTGACAGAGAGTCAGGGTGGGTAATGGTGGTGGTAATTTTCAGGGAAGGACATGAGTAGAAAGATGGAGGTCAAATGATGTGAATATAATAATGATATACAATATGGACAAGTTGATAATTAAGGCATGCGTGCAACAGTTAGGTAATTTTAATCTCAAATGTTTTGCCTACACAGTAGGCTTCTTCAGTCAAATACAGAGGAGGCAGCAGAAGCCTTTAAGATGTAATCACCTCAAAACTACGTCTTGAAGGGTGATGAACTATATACATCGTCTTTACATCTCTACTGCTTCTGCTGCCTCTTCTGTATTCAGATGAAGAAGTCTACTGTGTAGGCAAAACATACCTAACTGCTGCACGCGTGTCTTACTTATTGGGTTAATTGAAATAGCAACTCAGAATCAGTTAAAAAATTAGTCTGCAAATTCCTTAATGGGTAGTTAAACCATTAGAAGTTTGATGTTTCATAATTATTATTTGGATATGATATTATGTACATGTTTTTGTCTGTCTCATAAACATGCAAGATTTCAGGTGTCTTGCTACTTCTACTTACACTTAGGTCACACTACACATACATGTACAAGCATATATATACACGCCCCACTGGGTTTTCTTCTATTTTCTTTTTAGTTCTTGTTCTTGTTTATTTCCTCTTATCTCCACGGGGAAGTGGAACAGAATTCTTCCTCCATAAGCCATACGTGTTGTAAGAGCTGACTAAAATGCCAGGAGCAAGGGGCTAGTAACCCCCTTCTCCTGTATACATTACTAAATTTAAAAAGAAAAACTTTCGTTTTTCTTTTTTGGGCCACCCTGCCTTGGTGGGATACGGCCGGTTTGTTGAAAAAAAAAATTATGTACATGTATAATCCCTTCTGCATACATTATTAAATTTAAAATGAGAAATTTTCATTTTTCTTTTTGGACCATCCTGCCTTGGTGGGATACGACCAGTTTGTTGAAAGAAGATATTACATATACATTTATGTGAGACTCTAAAAATGTGTGGACCATTCAGTGCAAGAAAAAGTGGTGTAGGCTTAACCCAAGATCATCTATTATCTGTGTGAATGAGAATAAAAAATTAATAAGTAGTCTGTAAGCATTAGAAATAGTCTGTCCAAAATGAACTACATGCTGGTAGCTTTCTTTGGTGCTTAAAAATATTTTATTACATGTGAACTATATTTTGAACACAGCAGAAAAGAAATAAAGTTGTATTGTATTGTATAAAGAAGGGCATCAGTTTATTAACTAACCTTTACAAGCCAGGAGTTCCTTGAGTAGAGTACGCAGTGGTGTACATCGGGAGTATTCTGATGGGAGGCAGCGAGAAATGAGCATCTCTGCCACCAGCCGAAGGAAGTTTCTCTCTCTCTCAGGTGAACATAACTGAGGAACTAGGTGGAATATACCTCTCTCCCCTCGAGCTTCACTGCAATGAAAAATCAACTTATCTCTGTTTCTGAATTTTGCTGAAATCTTATACAGCCTCTCATCACTTAATGATGGAGTTCTGTTCCTAAAACCACGTCAGTAAACGAATTCTTTGCAAAGTGAGGAGCATACTATAATGGTAGTGGGTTTGTGTCAACCATCTCTGATATTGTTTTAATGTCACCTTTGCACCATTTATAACATTTTTAGTATATTTTTAAATGTTGATACCACAGTGTATTGCATATTGTAATAAATAGACTAAAGGAAATTAGTCTAATACATGTATACATTATTTATGTATGAAGGAAGGGGTAAGGGAAGTTTCGTGGGCGAGGGGCTTGGACTTCCAGCAGGCGTGCATGAGCGTGTTCGATAGGAGTGAATGGAGACGAGTGGTATTTGGGACCTGACGATCTGTTGGAGTGGGAGCAGAGTAATATTTAGTGAAGGGATTCAGGGAAACCGGTTATTTTATATAACCGGACTTGAGTCCTGGAAATGGGAAGTACAATGCCTGCACTCTAAAGGAGAGGTTTGGGATATTAGCGGTTTGGAGGGATATGATGTGTATCTTTATACGTATATGCTTCTAAACTGTTGTGTTCTGAGCACCTCTGCAAAAACAGCGATTATGTGTGAGGTGGAAGTGTTGAATGATGATGAAAGTATTTTCTTTCTGGGTATTTTCTTTCTTTTTGGGTCACCCTGCCTCGGTGGGAGAAGGCCAACTTACTGAAAAAAAAATAAATAAATAAATAAATAAATAAAAAATATATATAATAATAATAATAATAGTAATATTTTATTTTGACATGATACATGTTTATACAAAGAAATATAGTTGGGTGTACATGCCAAAAACCCCTTTATATGCAGAGCATTTCAGACGAACTTAAAATTAACTTAAGATTAATAAGGCAATACCAGTACATGTGGTCATTAGACGATTTACAATGAATCCAAGAGAATTGAGTATTCTATTATGTCAGCTATAAGGCTTTAACCCTTTGAGGGTCACCAGGCCCTCTCAGAGACTTGTTCTCAGGGTCCCCCAAATTTAAAAAAAAAAAAAAAAATTATTTTTTCTCATGAAAAGATAGAGAATCTTTTCCCGATCATAATGACACCAAAAGTATGAAATTTGATAGAAAACTTATGGAATTATACTCTCGCAAAGTTAGCAGTCTCAACGATGTTTACGCATCGGCGATTTTGCCCACTTTGAGCCCTATTTTCGGCCAATTCCAGTGTACTAGTCGATAAAAATCATAACTATTTCGCTAGAACTCCATTTTTTCTATCGAATGAGTACAAGAAACCACCCATTTACCGATTTCAACCATCCAATAACGTGGTCAGAATTTAGCAATTTTGCCAATTTCACACAAATTTCAAAAGATGCCAATTTCCAAATAGGGTCCAGAATAAACAAGAAAGACATTTCTGGCACTAAAATAACATGTGGCATGATTTGTCTACTTTTGAACTTGGGCAAAAATCGAGCATTTTTGCTACTTTGAGCTCAATTTCAAGGTACTTTTCATTATGAAACCAATCAAAATCATCTCAATTTCTGTAACATGTCTTCCATTCTATAAAATAAGACCAGGAAAACTAGAATACAATCATAAATACCATACGAAAATACAGTGCAAACCAATACAGTGCTGTTTTAAACCAAAAACACGGTCAAAGTTTTTTTCTCATTACTCATCGGTAAACGAGTACGTCACTAAGCGAGGAGAGGCTGTATTTTATTGGTTACATAACTATTAACCTTGCATGCAACAGGCTTGTGTGAGTGCATCTGAGAGAAATGAGTGGAGACAGGTTAGTTGGATTTGCATCCTGGAGGTGGTAAGTACAGTGTCTGCACTCTTAAGTGGTCTAGGAATGTTACGGTCCTGCAGGTGGGTGCACAATAAACTAGCCGCTTCGGCAGTAAAATAAAAAAAATCAATCTGTAGATATAGTGTGCACAGTAAAAAGTGTGAATATTTTATATGTTAAGCAAATTTAAATATCTAAATAAGGGAGGTAATACAAGATTTTGTTCGGATTTCTAACCTTGGAGGGTTAGCCACCCAGGATAACCCAAGAAAGGCAATGTGTCATCAAGGGACTGTCTGCCTTATTTCCATTGGTGTCCTCAATCTCGTCTCCCAGGATGTGACCCACGCCAGTCGACTAACACCTAGGTACCTACTTACCTGCTAGGTGAATGGGGACAGTGGGTGTAAGAAAACACCTGCTGTGTGTTGTCTGGAGCCAGAATGAGTAAAAATTATAGGAGCTGATTTTAGTTAAATAACAACAGGTTTAAGGTGATTACCTTTTGTTGATCCCCATACACAGATACCATAAGGTTAGCACTAAACCTGCAATGGTCATACAGTACTTGGGGACAGAAAGATAAATGAATTTGATCCTAGGAAGGAAATTTTAGCCCCAATTTCTTGGGTTACAAGTCCTTCACCAGCCTCAAGGCAACCCTACTTGAAGGACAAGCTTATGAAACACAATGTATTAAAATTTAGTTCAGTTTTCACCATAACATGTCATTTGGAGAGAAATTATATTTAAAATTAGGATAATTTGTTTCAATCCCCAGCCAAGTAGAAACATTGGGCATGTTTCCTTACACCTGCTGTCCCTGTTCACCTAACAGTAAGTAGGTACATGTACCTGGGTGTTAGTCGACTGGTTTGGGTGGCATCCTGGGGGACAAAATTGAAAGACCACAATGAAAAAAAAGACAGTCTTGAATGACACACTGACTTTCTTAGGTCACCCTGGGTGGCTAACCCTCCCTATCCCAGGTTAAAAATCAAAACAAATCTTACCTTACACCAAAGAAAATCATTTCTATCATTTATATGAAAAAAAAAAGGCCTCAGTGAGGACAAATGAAGATATCTCCTCAAATTCTTACCCAGCAACCTGAGCAATCTTGATGTGCTCAAGATGACGTGTGAGACAATTGACTGCACCGCCAGTAACAAAGCGTACGTGGTCCATACGGGCCAACCGTTCATTAATGTTCACAACACTGTACCACAAAACGCTCCTGCAATCAGGGATAAAATTATAGCATATCAGCACATGGAAGGCTTATTATTACATTTATGGGGGAACACTAAACTTGTAGGGGTTATACTGCACCTGAGTGGAATGGAAGGGATTCACGTCTGAGCCAAGAAATTGGAGCACAGGTCCAATTCTCTAGATCAAGAATCTCTTACCGGTACAGACGCTCCTTCCTTCATGATGGCTCGACCTATGATATTTTGACTATGATGGTGCGATAGCAATGCACACTCAGTAGTTACCAAAACACAAATAATCTGCACATAGGAGAGAGGAGCTTATGACGACGTTTTGGTCTGACTTGGACCATTTACAAAGTAGGACCAAAACATCATCGTAAGGTCCCCTCTCCTATGTGCAGGTTGTGTATTGTTCCAGTCACGGTATTGTGCCTTTTTGTTATTTAGTAGTCATTAAAATTTGATAGTATAAACTTGCATTCATTTATTTACTTATCAATACAGTAACTGTTACAGTAATTATTTACATATACAGTGACGCATTAGTTATTTATTTATTTATCATATATTCATATTCGACTTACAATATTTTCAAGTTATGATGGGTTCATCAGAAAGTAAGCTGAGGAGTACCTGTATCAAGGAGCCCTCCTTGAAGGAACATGGTGATTAAAACACACACACAGTGCTGAACAAGTTTATATTGGGACTGTTTCACTCCGTGTAAAGCTTCATCAAGTCCTGACTAGATAAAGCTCCACGTAGTAAAACACGATAAAAAACTTTTCGTACAACATCTGTCTTGCCTTCACCACTACCACTAGTACTAGCACACTGCTGAGATGTACATCACTACATACAAACTCCCCTATCTGGAGAGGTAATTAGAAAGACAAAGTGAATATATCAGCCTCATTCCGAGGCCACCTTCAGTAGTATGCATTCATATTATCTTTTCCAGTCATTGTTTCCAATACTGAGTTAATATTACAGAGACCGGTGCAAGGATGAACTACGTTCTCATACTGGAGTGTTTCACGGAATGGATATACAGGTAGGCCCTGCTGTACAGCACTTCGCTTTACGGTATTTTGTTAATACAACGGTTTTCAATAAATATATTCACCACTCACTATAAGTTAAGGATGAAAATATTTCAAGGAAAGTACTGTGTATACTGTATAGTAGGGCCCTGCTTTACGGCATTTTGCCTTACAACGTTCTGTTAATACGGCGATTTCAAATCATGACCAAAACTCTATACGGCGAGCAGTCTTTCTAATACAGCACACGTCACCCAGTTTTCTTACATTCTCCATGAGCACATCTCTCTACTGTGTCTGGAAACTTTCCAAAATTTCAAGTGTTTTAAAGTTACTGCATATTTTATATGTACTCTAATAATTATACTTATATGTGCCTGTACCTAAATATACTTACACACTGTGCTGGCATGCAGATACACATTAAAATCACTAAGAGTGTCCTTTTAGTCTTAATGCCACAGTAATAATAGTAATATGTAATAATAATCACTCTTGGGCACATTAAATATCTTATTTTACATTAATATTGACATTTTCATTAATCCATCTACGACATTTTCTTCAAAATTATATAAGAAACATGTTACATAGCATATATACATGCCATGTTTATATGCTATGGAGGGGTGGTTGTCAGGCAGAGGGAAAACATTACATCTTCTCTGGTCCAGCACCAGAGTAAACATGTATGAATCTGCGTTGGCCCACTCGCTCCCCTTAACAAATAACACTTTTGTTTACAATTCTCGGCATGAATTATTCATTACTTCTCCCTATGTTTATGATGGCATCTAAAGGTAGTTGTCAGAAACGATTAAACTCGGTGAACATGGTATGTCAATGGTAATAATGTGGCTTTGGGCCGCATTAATTATCGTGTAGCTATGAAGGTAGGTGTAGGTATGTAGCCCAGGTGGACTACATACCTACATCTACCGGCTACTTATGCATGACTTCCTACAAATAAATACTACTTGCCTCTTGTCCAACATTAAGACTACACATAGTTTAAGGTAAATACTGTAATGAGTGTACTGCATGTGTATTTTATCTCTCTGGGCTGCTTTAAATATCATATACGTATTAAGTTTGGGATGGGGAGCCGGGGTACCTACACCTGACTTCCTACAAATAAGTACTACTCACCTCTTGCCCTACATTAAGACTACAAATATTTTAAAGTAAGTAATGAATGTACATACGTACTTTGTATGTATTTTACTTTTCATTGTGTTTTTTAATGCATAGTTCTATTACTAACTTAATATAAGTTAGTGTAAACTAATTGTCTGGCATTTATATGCATTTATAAGTGGAAAAAATGGCATTCTGCTTTCCAGCAATAGCCTGGAACCTAACCTGCCGTGTAAGTGGGGCCCTACTGTATGTGCATCTTTTAGGCCTAGCTATATTGCTCATTTAATTGTATATGACAGTGTAAACATGCTATCAGGTTTTAATATGTGTTTGAGAGTGAAACAAAGGCTGATTCACTTTACAGTGATTTTCATTTTACAGCAGTAGCCCAGAACTAAACCTGCTGCATAAGTGGGGCCTTCCAGTACTAAGAAAATGCATTTTCTTAATCCATTTTATTCAGGGGAAAAGCACTAAACCCACAGTGGTCATATTGAGCCTGGGAGAATGAGATATATTCAGGTTTGATCCAAGATGATGATTAATCCAATTCCTTGGATGAAGAGCTCCTCACTGGCACATGGGCACTTTCCTTAGGGTTCAGGGAGCATGCTAAACCCACAGTCATGCAGGAGAATAGGAGAATTAGATTTGATCCAAGGTAGGGGAAAAGGGCTCCAATTTCTTGGATCAAGAGCCCTGCACCAGAATCAAGGTACCCTTATAAGGATTAGCAGAAGAAACATACTTTTGAAGAAATACAAGAGACACTATGCAAATCTCTTCAGAAGAGTATGATTATTATTATTATTATTATTATTATATTATTATTATTATTATTATTATTACTATTATGAAGAAATGCTAAACCCATATGGGTCACACAGTGCCAGGGTAATGGGAGAGAATCAGATTTGATTCAAGGAAGGGAAAAATTGATAGTTTCAAATTTAGGTTATTAAATACACGAGTGAGAGGGGTTGGATTTGGGTGGGATTTGCATATGAGTTAATAGGGTTATCAAAGTTTATTCCATGGGAAGCATGGAAAATAGGTTGGGCAAATATTTTGGTTAGTGGGTTTTGGTTTGAGAAGGACCTGCCTAGTATGGGCCAGTAGGCCTGTTGCAGTGTCCCTCCTTTCTTAAATGTTATGCTCTTAAAAAGTTCTCTTCCCTGGCATCAAGGATACAGAGAACCAAATGTCTTAGTAGTTCTGGCAAGCGTGACAACTAAAGATATTAAATGGTAAGAATACATACTTTTAAATATATACACTGTATATGACTATCATAATATTACTACTGTACTCACCTGAGGGCCTCAGTACTTGGGGTAGTCTCATTAACTAAGTTTTTATACCATGGGATTACATCGTTCTCGATGAATCCATCGATCAACTCGTTAATGGCACTGTCAATTTTCCGGCTAATGACAGCCCCATGTCTTGTTGGAAGGGAACTTTCCGCATCGCAACGGACATTCTGAATTAGTAAAGTAATATCTGTATTAATAGCACTGCTGTTAGTGCCTGAACATTATTAATATTTTATTCATAGGAAAGTGCTGCACTCATAGGGGTCACATACAGGTGCTCCTCAACTTACAATGGTTAATTAGACTTATGATATTTTGACTTTACAATGGTGCAAAAAGCAATTACTTTGGAGATGAAACTTAAAATAATTACCCAGCATGAAGACAGAAAGTCTGTAACTTGTATTCATTTATTTACTTTTCAATACTGGTATTCAGTTAGTTAAAGTAATTATTTATTTATTTACTTATTCAGTGACAGTAGATATTCACTTATTTATCATATCATATTCACATTCGACTTAAGAAATTTTTGACTTACGATGGGTTTGTCAGAACGTAACCCTATTGTCAGTCGAGGACCACCTGTAGTGTCTAGGAAATGAGATAATTGGGTTTGACCCTGGAAAGGGAGGACTGCTCTAATTCCTTGGTTCCAGAGCCTTTTGCCAGCAAAAAGGCACTCCTTTAAAGGAATTACATGCATGGTACAGAATGAACTGTTAATATTTTTTTTGTTACCTCAAGGACCATCCCCCACCAAGGCAGGCTGACCCAAAAAAGACACCTTCACCAACATTCATTCAACTGCCATCTTTCAAGAAGTGTGTTGACACCACACTCAGACTGCCCCTCTGACTGCAACATTACCCACCTCCCACTTCAAAGTGCAGGCACTGCCCTTGCCACCTCCAGGACTCAAGTCCGGTTAACCGGTTTTTCCCTGAATCCCTGTATGAAGGTTACCTCGCTCACACTCTGACAGCATATCCATTATATTATTATTATTATTATTATTATTATTATTATTATTATTATTATTATTATTATTATTATTATCCCCTGTATAAATTACAAAATGTAAAAAGAAGCAACATTAAGTTTTTTTTCTTTTTCAGGTCACCCTACCTTGGTGGGAGTCAGCCAATGAGTAATATATTATTATTATTAACTCCTTTTGTGAAATTACTAAATTTAAGAAACAAAGATTATTAATACAGTGGACCCTCAGCTAATGATATTAATCTGTTCTTGAAAGCTCATCGTTAGCTGAAATTATCGTTAGCTGAATTAATTTTCCCCATAAGAAATAATGGAAATCAATTTAATCCGTGCAAGACACCCCAAAGTATAAAAAAAAAAAAATTTTACCACATGAAATATTAATTTTAATACACACAAACTAACACTTACCTTTATTGAAGATCTGGTGATGATTGATGGGATGGGAGGAGGGGAGAGTGTGGAAGTTGTTAATGTTTAGAAAGGGAATCCCCTTCCATTAGGACTTGAGGTATCAAGTCCTTTTCTGGGGCTACTTCCCTTCTTCTTTTAATGCCACTAGGACCAGCTTGAGAGTCACTGGACCTCTGTCGCACAACAAATCTGTCAATAGAGGTCTGTACCTCCCGTTCCTTTAAGATTTGCCTAAAATGGGCCACAACATTGTCATTGTAATAGTCACCAGCATGGCTTGCAATAGCTGTGTTAAGGTGATTTTCATCCATAAAGGTTTGCAGTTCAACCCACTTTGCACACATTTCCTTAATCTTTGAAGTAGGCACAATGGATTCCATAACTGGCATAGGTGTCTCAGGGTTAGGCTCAAACCCTTCAAAATCTTTCTTAATTTCCATACTAATTCTCACCCTTTTTATCACAGGGTTGGCACTAGAAGCTTTCTTGGGGCCCATGGTGACTTATTTTGCAGGTACAATCACTAAAAATGCTGTGATAATATGAAATGTTCCGATTGTATGCGTGGATGCAACCGCACTGGCTGGCTTGTAAACATTGGCACCCACAGGACAACTGAGGCGCGCTCAGGCCACACGTGGATGCGTCTCGAACGAATCGCATTGGGCGAGTTTTTTAGCGTTAGCCAAGGCAAAATTTTTGCGTTAAAATGTATCGTTAGCTGGATTTAACGTTAGCTGATGCCATCATTAGCTGAGGGTCCACTGTATTATTAATTATTACAGCTGCTGCATTCAAAGCATGCACTAAACTCTTATGGGTCATACAGCAACATGTATTATAATAATGGTTTACAGTATAATGCATCTCTGTAGTTAATATTACATTACCACCTTATAAAGATCATGTTTTTTTTATTTAAATCACCTATCTTGGCAAGGGTATTCTCTTTCATTTTTTCAAAGAAAACAGGACATTTTATTTATAAAACTGGTTGGCATAAAATAATGTACTGTATTACAGAATTCCTCATTTAACCCTTTGAGGGTCGACAGGCCCTCTCCGAAACTCGTTCTCAGGGTCGGCCAAATTTAAAAAAAAAAAAATTATTTTCTCTTATGAAAAGATAGAGAATCTTTTCCCGATCATAAAGACACCAAAAGTTTGAAATTTGATGGAAAACTTACGGAATTATGCTTTCGCAAAGTTAGCGGTCTTGGCGATGTTTACGCATCGGCGATTTTGCCCACTTTGAGCCCCATTTTCGGCCAATTCCACTGTACTAGTCGACAAAAAACATGAATATTTCGCTAGAACTCCATTCTTCCAATCGAATGGGTGCAAGAAACCATCCATTTATGAAATTTAACTATCCAGTACAGTGGTCAGAATTTAGCAATTTTGCCAATTTCACACAAATTTCAAAAGATGCCAATTTCCGAATAGGGTCCAGAATAAACAAGAAAGACATTCCTGGCACTAAAATGACATTTCCTCTGGTCATTAGTCACGTCTCAAGGCCCCTCTTATATTCTTTTGCTTTCCACTTTGAATTTTTATTCTCACAAAAAATATAAGATTTACTGTTATGCAGACTACTGCATTAGTGTAAAAAATAGTATAAATATTATTGGTGCACTTGTGAAAGAATATTAGACTCACCAGTTGACGTGTATTGCACGCTTGGCACGATTTGTTTACTTTTGAAATTTGGTAAAAATCGAACATTTCTGCTACTTTGATCTCAATTTCAAGGTATCTTTCATTGTAAAACCAGTCAAAATCATCTCAATTTCTGTAATATGTCTTCCATTCTATAAAATGAGACCAAGAAAACTAGAATACAACAATAAATATCATACGAAAATACAGTGCAAAGTCGCTGTTTTATTCCAAAAAAATGGTCAAAGTTTTTTTTTTCTCATTATGCACTGTGTGCTGCAGGATTTTTTTTAGACTGTGCACACTGACCACATAGACCCATTCTTTCATATGAAGGCCTACCAGCTTTCTCCCACTAGATTTGAGGGCGCTAGAATTTAGGCGTACTAGTACGTCAAAAACCCTGGGTCGTAAGCCGTACTAGTACGTCCGAAACCCTCAAAGGGTTAAGTAATGTAATACAGTCCACTCTCTTATAAACTCCTCTATACAGTGTGCCTTGTTATAAATGCAGTTGAAAAAGTGCATTCGAATTTACGTTGCACATGAAAAGCATTTATAATATGTGATATTTCATTTCAATTCAATTTAAAAAAAAAATGCACTATAAATGAATTTAATTTGTAATGCTTAGAAAGTTAAAGAACAAAGAGCACAATACCATGACTGGAACAATATACAAATAAACCGCACAAGAAAGCAGAAAATCCAACTAACCGAAATAAGTGCATGAAGGGCAGATATCTCCGGAGGAACACGGACTGTAACCTGGTGTTTAGCCGACAGCATCACATACGCTGCAACAGTGAGGGTGGCCCCAAGAACCATGGCTGAAATGCCTCCAATAATCAGAGAAAAGGGGAGTACCACCCCTAAGCTCCCTCCTTCTCTGCCCCAGCCCCATGCTGCACTCACAAACAAGGTAACTAGCAATCCTGCAACACCAGCAGCCCACATCCAACCCTGCAAAGATAAGGCACACGTACAGTAAGTCCTCGACTTACAAACACGTTGAGAATCTTCCGTATTGTGTATAATATCGTTATTGTGTACATTATTATTATATTATGATTATACACAGTATAAAAGACCCCCAGTGTGTTCGTTACTTGAAGACTTCCTGTATTTAAAATAAAATGCACTGTAGAATTCTTTTTTAAATAAGGCTGCAATAAGGAAAAAAATATAGTAGAAATGAGGACTGTATAAATAAAATTGAATTCTTTAAAATATTTTTGAGATGTGCAATAAAGCACATGCAGCAGTTTTTTTACAGTGCCCTATTTGTTATTTTTGAGCTATAAATTAGTGATTAGTTTAGCATTTGGCTTTCAACCAAACCAGCCAATGCAGTTTGATAGCATCATCTGGCCTCCCTGACACCACCTGTCAGGGAGACTTGAGGGACCTAATCCCTGGTGAAAATAAATACAAGTAGGTTTATTTAGGTACAAATACACGTAAGTACAATCACCATACATATTGTAAATTACCTAGGATAACCCCCCCCCAAAAAAAAAAAAAGACAAAGTGACTCATTTCCATTACTTTTAAATAGATAAATAAGATATGTGCAGTAGTTAACTATTTTTATTTCAAATGGAAATGGGCTGATCATATCTTTACCTCACCCCTGCTTCTGCTGTCTACATATTTCATCACCTCTGTAGTCAACTGAAGTCTATTGTATTCAACTGAATTCAGCTGAAGTCTATTGTGCAAGTAAAATGTTTCAGAAGTAAAGATACCTACCTACAGTTTTAAAACTGCTTTGAAAGTGCATAGGTGATGTAGAAATACAAACGTAAGTAATTTTATTTAGACACAGGAACACACAAATACAATTATCATACTTTTTTTTTTTTTTTTTTTATCACACTGGCCGATTCCCACCAAGGCAGGGTGGCCCGAAAAAGAAAAACTTTCACCATCATTCACTCCATCACTGTCTTGCCAGAAGGGTGCTTTACACTACAGTTTTTAAACTGCAACATTAACACCCCTCCTTCAGAGTGCAGGCACTGTACTTCCCATCTCCAGGACTCAAGTCCGGCCTGCCGGTTTCCCTGAATCCCTTCATAAATGTTACTTTGCTCACACTCCAACAGCACGTCAAGTATTAAAAACCATTTGTCTCCATTCACTCCTATCAAACACGTCATGCATGCCTGCTGGAAGTCCAAGCCCCTCGCACACAAAACCTCCTTAACCCCCTCTCTCCAACCTTTTCTAGGCCGACCCCTACCCGCCTTCCTTCCACTACAGACTGATACACTCTTGAAGTCATTCTGTTTCGCTCCATTCTCTCTACATGTCCGAACCACCTCAACAACCCTTCCTCAGCCCTCTGGACAACAGTTTTGGTAATCCCGCACCTCCTCCTAACTTCCAAAACTACGAATTCTCTGCATTATATTCACACCACACATTGCCCTCAGACATGACATCTCCACTGCCTCCAGCCTTCTCCTCGCTGCAACATTCATCACCCACGCTTCACACCCATATAAGAGCGTTGGTAAAACTATACTCTCATACATTCCCCTCTTTGCCTCCAAGGACAAAGTTCTTTGTCTCCACAGACTCCTAAGTGCACCACTCACTCTTTTTCCCTCATCAATTCTATGATTAACCTCATCTTTCATAGACCCATCCGCTGACACGTCCACTCCCAAATATCTGAATACGTTCACCTCCTCCATACTCTCTCCCTCCAATCTGATATTCAATCTTTCATCACCTAATCTTTTTGTTATCCTCATAACCTTACTCTTTCCTGTATTCACCTTTAATTTTCTTCTTTTGCACACCCTACCAAATTCATCCACCAATCTCTGCAACTTCTCTTCAGAATCTCCCAAGAGCACAGTGCCATCAGCAAAGAGCAGCTGTGACAACTCCCACTTTGTGTGTGATTCTTTATCTTTTAACTCCACGCCTCTTGCCAAGACCCTCGCATTTACTTCTCTTACAACCCCATCTATAAATATATTAAACAACCACGGTGACATCACACATCCTTGTCTAAGGCCTACTTTTACTGGGAAATAATTTCCCTCTTTCCTACATACTCTAACTTGAGCCTCACTATCCTCGTAAAAACTCTTCACTGCTTTCAGTAACCTACCTCCTACACCATACACCTGCAACATCTGCCACATTGCCCCCCTATCCACCCTGTCATACGCCTTTTCCAAATCCATAAATGCCACAAAGACCTCTTTAGCCTTATCTAAATACTGTTCACATACATAGTGTAAATTACCCACCAGGATAACCCAAAAAAAAGTGACTTATTTCCATACATCATATTTACGTATGCAAATTTAACCTTGGAAAGCCAAATAAAGTAAAAAAATAAGCTATATTTGGGAAATCTACAAATATTTTACAAAGAACGGCATCAACTTTCACAACGGTCTTGAAGTTGCATAGATACATTATGACTATATTATTATTATTATTATTACAATCAAAACTAAGCACTAAACCCACAAGGGTCAAAGAGTGCTGCATTAGGAATATAACAATGGAACACCGAGCCTCGGAAAATGCAACCTAGTTTTTCAATTTTATTTGCAATTGTGGACATTATTAATTTCCACATATTTTGAATCTACGTATTCTATCTTACACACAAAATATAGCGACAAATAAAATGGAAAAAAAGAAAGTCAAACTTACACTATGTCTAATACAATGACATTGTATAATGTATACAACTGCCTTTTGTGTAACTTATACAATATGTCATTATGAGTCATGGGGAAGCGCTAAGCCCAAAGGGAGGGTCACACAGCACCTGGGCAATGGGGAATAATGACGTTTGATAAAATGGCTTTTGATCCAATGCCTTGGATCAAGAGCCACTGACTGGCTCTGAAGAAAAAGGGGAAGGACTAACGACCCCATATTATTATTATAACCATAACTAAGCGCTAAACCCTTAAGGGTCACACGGCCCTGGGGCTCATTTGAACGACCAAGAGCTTGAAATTCAGTTACACACTAGTGAATAATGGCCAGACCTGCCCGATAAATGCCTTGTCAGCAATCTTGACAGCTGGTTTGGCTTCCTTGACAGCTGGTTTATCCTTCCTAACAGCTGGTTTAGCCGTCTTAACAGCTGTCTGCAATCCCAAGAGTCCTTCCTGGCTGTGACAGGACGATCAGCTGGTGTTGTCACGGTTGTTAAGGCACCTCAATGCTCATCTATTTAAGAGGCCTTATCAATTTATTTAAGATAAGATAAGATTTCGTTCGGATTTTTAACCCCTGAGGGTTAGCCACCCAGGATAACCCAGAAAGTCAGTGCGTCATCCAGGACTGCCTAACTTATTTCCATTGTGGTCCTCAATTTTGTCCCCCAGGATGCCACCCACACCAGTCCACTAACACCCAGGTACATACTTACTGCTAGATGAACATGGACAGCAGGTGTCTGTGGTTCGATTCCCGGTACGGGAATCGAACCACAGACCTCAGTGTGTGAGCTAAGTGCGCTACCAACTGTAAGTTTATTTAGGTACAAGTAGACATAAATAGAATTACAGAAATTATCATACATAGTACATATGTATAGATTACCTAGGTAAGTAAGTATGTAAGTGGGTCTTGAAGACAGCCAGGTGTATAATGTATGCTGGGAGGCAGCTGAACAGTCTTGGGCCCCTGACACTTTTTTTGTCAGGGGGCCCTGTTTTCACTGGGAAAATGTAGCGATTGCTATTTATTGTACTTCCTGGGTAGTAATCCGAAATTTGGATCAATATTTCAGTTTTTCCAACATCTGTAATAACCTCCACAAACGTTAGGGCAAATTACTTTTCTTAAAAGAACTGTAATAGCACGACAGTAACCAACTCGTAGAACGTTGTGGGTACTGAACCCATGGCAGTGAGTCCTCTCTCTGGAGTACAGAAATATACCTAGTTGGATGAATGTTATTTAGAGCCACCTGGTCCAGTGGTTAATGCACTGGTCTGTGAGTTTTGAGGTTATATTTCTACAAGTACATGTACAAGGTATACAGACCATAGCTGATATCAGTGACATACTACTATATAGAAAGCCCCTTGTTATTACCCGGAGTTTACCTGGAGAGGATTTCGGGGGTCAACGCCCCCTGCAGCCCGGTCTGAGGCCAGGCCTCATCGTTATGCAGAGCATTTCGGGAAAATTAGATTAATTTTGTCCCAGGATGCGACCCACACCAGTCAACTAACACCCAGGTGCCTATTTTACTGATAGATGAACATAGACAGCAAGTCCTAATGGGTTCAAACTCTCGTTCCCGGATTTGTTTTACTAAAACTTCCAACAAATTGCTTGCAAAAAGTGACAGTATTAGTTATAAGTTAAAGATTTAAATTTAGATTCTTTATGCAGAGAACTTAGGGGAAACTTAAGACTGTTGTAAGGTTGCCCAAAGTAGTCTACATAACCAGGGTTTTATTACAAATTATGTCAAGAATTTCATCTTTCTCTGAAACACGTGTAAACCATACTTGCTGGAAATAAACTTTATCGTTTATCATTATTTCCAATGGGGAGACCTGTTTTCCGGTAGCCCAAATTTGGGCAGGAACTATGCAAGAAATAAAGTTTCCTCTGGAAGGAGGAACTAAAATAACAAGTTCCTTCTTAGGGTGGATGGACCTCTGACTTTTTTGGGTTATCCCAGGTTCTCTACACATATGCTGCTATGTATGATAATCTATGTAACTGTATTTGTGGCTAAAGCTCCCGCTTCACACACGGAGGGCCCGGGTTCGATTCCCGGCGGGTGGAAACATTTCGACACGTTTCCTTACACCTGTTGTCCTGTTCACCTAGCAGCAAATAGGTACCTGGGTGTTAGTCGACTGGTGTGGGTCGCATCCTGGGGGACAAGATTAAGGACCCCAATGGAAATAAGTTACAGTCCTCGATGACGCACTGACTTTCTTGGGTTATCCTGGGTGGCTAACCCTCCGGGGTTAAAAATCCGAACGAAATCTAATCTTATCTTATCTTACATATTTGCTTAAACTAAGACCATCAGACACCCACCTGCCCGTCACCTGAGTCAACAACAACAGACATTTTGTAAACCTAGGAGTTGATGCATGCCGCCACGACCGATTGTCCAGAGTAATAATAATATCTTTACTTCTAGAAGTACATGTACAAGGTATACAGAGTCTGTATACCTTGTACATGTACATGTACTGTAATCTGTAATACAGACCACAGATGAAATCAATGACATACTGCTATATAGAAAGCCCCTTGTCATGCAGAGCATTTCGGGTAAATTAGGTCAATTTTGTACCCAGGATGCGACCAACACCAGTCCACTAACACCCAGGTACCCATATACTTTACTGCTAGGTGAACAGGGACAGCAGGTATCTTAGGAAACGCGTCCTAATGTTTTCAGGCGTACCGGGGATCAAACCGTGGACCTCAGTGGGAAAGCTGATTGCGCTAGCAATCGAGGTACGGGACATTTAGGTACAGGTACACATAAATACAGTTACACAAATTATCATCACAATAACAAATGCGTAAATTACCTAGGATAACCCCAAGAAAAGTTAGAGGACTGAAGACGAGAATAAACTTGTCAGGAACGGAAAGAGCAATAGAAAGCAAGGGTAGAGCTAAGAAAGCAAGGGTAGAGCTAAGAAAGAAAGCAAGAGTAGAGCTAAGAAAGAAAGCAAGGGTAGAGCTAAGAAAGAAAGCAAGGGTAGAGCTAAGAAAGAAAGCAAGGGTAGAGCTAAGAAAGAAAGCAAGGGTAGAGCTAAGAAAGCAAGGGTAGAGCTAAGAAAGAAAGCAAGGGTAGAGCTAAGAAACAAAGCAAGGGTAGAGCTAAGAAACAAAGCAAGGGTAGAGCTAAGAAACAAAGCAAGGGTAGAGCTAAGAAACAAAGCAAGGGTAGAGCTAAGAAAGAAAGCAAGGGTAGAGCTAAGAAAGAAAGCAAGGGTAGAGCTAAGAAAGAAAGCAAGGGTAGAGCTAAGAAACAAAGCAAGGGTAGAGCTAAGAAACAAAGCAAGGGTAGAGCTAAGAAACAAAGCAAGGGTAGAGCTAAGAAAGAAAGCAAGGGTCATGTGAGAACTTTATCTTAAAAGTGGAATGTGGCTGCACTCAAGTCTTACGAGTGATGGAAGATTACTGGAGAAAGATAACCAAGAAGATGAGTGAAAGTTTTAAGAGACCAGTAAGCAAGAGGATGGTAGTGTAAGTCTTTAGCACAGTATTTCTGTGCTAAAAAACACCGCCAGTGGACCCCAACGAAAACACCAGCGAAACCAAACGTCCCACTGAATCAGCAAACAGTGGCAGTGTTCCAGATTTCAGGCCCTTTTATGGACACTGAGGTTTTGCATAGATGATGTTTCAGGGGTCAACGCCCCCCGAGGCCTGGTCCATGACCAGGCCTCACGGCTGCACGCCTTGGAAATCCGCAGAGAGAATAAAAATGAAGGTAATGAATGATGCTTTAGACCAACTCAGGAGCGAGCTGTGTATAATGAGGACAAACATCTCGGGTAGAGACTGGGGGATGGTTTAGAAAGACACGTAAGCAAACACTATAACATATTTATTAGAAAACGTTTCGGTCCTGGGACCTTGATCACTTCTAACATACAGAGGTAGAAAGACATTATATATATAGGCGGAGAGTGAGATGTGACGCACGTGACCTGAGGAATGTCATAAGAACATAAGAATGGAGGAACACTGTAGAAGGCCTACTGGCCCATGCGAGGCAGGTCCTTATCAAAACAACCTCGCATGGGCCAGTAGGCCTTCTACAGTGTTCCTCCATTCTTATGTTCTTATGACATTCCTCAGGTCACGTGCGTCACATCTCACTCTCCGCCTATATATATAATGTCTTTCTACCTCTGTATGTTAGAAGTGATCAAGGTCCCAGGACCGAAACGTTTTCTAATAAATATGTTATAGTGTTTGCTTACGTGTCTTTCTAAACCAACTTGTCGGTATTTATTACCAAGGTTTATACCAGACTGGGGGATGTATGACCGATGATCAGGTGACAGCTGCGTCTGATACCTGCTGCTCTTGATAAGATGTTTAAAGGCCATTACGGCTTAAGAAGCATGTCATTTCCCCTGTTTTCTAATAATATGTTACTTTTCCCCTATAATCTACCTTGTCCATAATTATTATCGCGTTTGCTTAGCCTTCGTAAGGTGAAGTCCAGGATCTTTCCTTAATTCATGGTATAGCTTAACAAATCTTTGAGGACGATTGTTTTAATTTTAATCATAATATATATATATATATATATATATATATATATATATATATATATATATATATATATATATATATTATATATATTATATATATATATATATATATATATATATATATATATATACCCTACATTCTATGGCACTCTTTCTCTCATCCCCTGACACCGCCCTCCCCTCATCCTTAGCAGCCCCTCACCCCTTCTCTGGGGTTCTAACTACCCCTTAACAACCTTCCTAGGGTTCTTCCTCTAACTTTTAATCTTGCGCAAGAAAATTAATTCAGAAATAAAGTGGGGGCGCTGCCCCCTGGGTTATGGCCTGCCGGGGGGGCTTAATTCTGGGGAAATTGAATTATTCCTTGTCTCTCGTGTGGCTCCTGGGGAAGGAGAAGCGTACTGGGGAAGGAGCAGCGTAATGGGGGAGGGAAGCATACTGAGGGAGGGGGAGTGTGGTGGGGAGGGAAACATTTTGGGGAGGGGAGTGTACTTGGGGAGGGGAGCATACTGGGGGAAGGGAGTGTACTGGGGAAGAGGGAGTGTACTGGGGGAGGGGAGTGTACTGGGGGAAGGGAGCATAATGTGGGAGGGGAAAGAGTACTGGTGGGAGGGGTGTGGAACGAAGGACATTACTTAAGAAATCGTAATGACACGATTGCAACCAAACCATACCCCCGGCCGGGATTGAACCCGCGGTAATAGAGTCTCAAAACTGGCTGGAGTTTTGAGACTCTATGACCGCGGGTTCAATCCCGGCCGGGGGTATGGTTTAACGAAGGACATTCTCTGGTGGGAGGGGTGTGGGAGGGGTGTGAGAGGGGTGTGGGAGGGGTGTGGGAGGGGTGTGGGAGGGGTTTTTCAGAATAAGGGACAGTGGGTAAAATTTTCATGGGAAGGAGATGAGGCAGTTGATGGACAGATATATATTGTTGAATGAACTTTGTT